GCAATAAGATACAATAAGAAAATTTTATTTGGAACTCAAGATATTGAAATAAGTAAAATAAAGAGTAACGATTTTGTCTCTATTATTATCAGAAATTTGTTCATTCATGCCTATTAATTAAAATTGTTTGTATAGTACATAAATTCGAAAATGGTTGATGACGCAATATACTTAAATTTAACAAGAAAGCATTGAAATATAATGAAAATTTGAAAGGAATTTAATTAAAGTGGCCATACGTCCCAGTTTGGCCGGGACAGTCCCGGATTTCTGTAAAACTAAAATTTATCCCAGATTGTCCCGCGGTTTTGTAAAGTATAGGTTTAAATTCAATCTATAATAAATATAATATCTATAATAACAAAATAAAATCTTCGCAATTACTTGATACTAAAATCACAAACATGCCCCCTCCCTTGAATTTGCATAACTTAAAAAATATGGTCATCATTTCGAATATATTCAAAACTATCATACTGCAATTAATTAAATAAAAAATTCATAAACAATTCATAGAACTAGCTTCTCTTTGACTTTATTTTTCATATATATCTATTTTCAAATTCTTTATTATTTCATTTAATTTTTCATTCACATAAACGAGATATTCAAACAATTTATATTGATGGAACACGATGTTGAACTCTCGAGTTGAACTCATGCGATATGGGGAGAGCGACAACTTCCGATATGTTTCAAATTTTTAATGATAACATAATCAACGTACAAGTTTGATTACGTAAGCAAAATACAAAACATCAACCGAATAATACTATACATATATGCTCTCGCATATGAACTATCTCTATTCTGCCACATATCAGTGATAATAAATTAGTATAAATGTTCTACTGGATAGTTGTTTTTTTATAAACTTTGATTGCGGCAGCTAATTTTATTACAGATATGATTTTTTTAGTTTTTAATTACATATGTATAGAACATGTGCTTACGTGAGTAGAAGACTTAGATGAGTAATATTGTAAAGAGAGTATTGTTTATGAATTTCTTTATCTTTTATAAGTAGCCTAGATAAACTCAATTACAATTAGACAATTGTAAACGTGTGATGGATATAAATAGACTATTTATTAATTAATAGAAAATCATAATAACGAATTAATTATTTATTGTGACGTATGACCAATTTGTTTACTATAGAGATATTTTGGGGTTATCAGATGTTAATTTCTGTTTTGGATAAATGTTTTGAAATATAACTGCTTCACTAATTATGGTTGAATACACAAGATTGATAATTCAAACTGGCGCCTTATTAAAATATATGATGTTTCAATTTATTCATAAATTTTATAAAAATATATATTCATTAGAAATAAATTCTTACAAATAAATTAAACATACTGGAAATTAAACCAAAAAAGAACAATTTTATAAAGTTTAAAATTGTTTTTTTTAGGCAGATGATCAGAAAAGGTTCAAACACATTTTAGAAAGCGAGATAAATACCTTTTGCATTAATTTTCTAGTTTTATTTGATACCTGTAATTAATATATAGTAACTTTCATAATTAATTGAAATATATTTCCAATTGAACAAAAATTTATACATTCTATAGAGTATTCATATGTAGTAGGTAGAGAACGATATAAGAATTTCGTCATTTTAGGGGCAAATTCTTCGATAAAATAGACCGAAACATAGCGTTGTTATGGCAACGCTATGTTACGCTCCTTTCTTCATATAAATTGGTAGTAAAACCTGTCAAAGTGCCATTATGTATTTAATGTGTGATCAGAATTTTCACACATAAAACATATTCTCACGTATGTGTTATCATGACACATCAGAAAGATGCAGTTATGATAACATTGTTTTTTTGTCGTATGTGCGTTTTCTAAGTTAGGTTTTATATCTAAAACGCCAGACTACACAGCAAATACATAGCATTTTGACAGATTTACTAACAATTTATATGAAGAAAGAAGCACCACATAGCGTTGCCATAACAACGCCATGTTACGGTCTCTTTTGTCTGAGAATTGGCCCCTTAATTGATATGAGTGTAATATAATCAACAAAAAATAATTAACATTATGTTACTATTTTAGATAGTTTTAGTTAATAAATTCTCTAATATTTTTTATTACATTGAATGTTGAATTAAAGATAGTGATATGAAATTTTTTTAACATCCCATTTGAGAAGCACAGCATCCATATTATCCAGGCATGATGCGTTCTCTCGCATACTAGGCATTCCGTTGTAAATAGGGTGCGCGCTCCGCACCGGCGATGTTGAGCCAGTATTCGGTTCCCACTGAAGCATCAATTAGGGCTGGGAGATATTATTCGATATTTATGGTAAAAGTAAATAGATCAATATCAGAGTCAATAGTAGATCCTTGATAATTGAATAATTGGAGAAATAAAAAATACATTGAATCATGATCGATTAAAATTTTTAGTATAAAATCATTAGGTATGCCAATAGCAATTCCAACCAACAAACTTTGTATTACTTAAACTAGAGAAAAATCAATATTAGTATCGTAATCGTGTATTTGCTGAATTTGTCTTTATAGGCTAACACCTATAATTACGTTGATACTGTCCCTGCCATTTTACTCCCTTTGCCATTACCACACTTTTAAAAAACTGATGCGATATATAATTACTGGATAAATGATAAACGAGAATTGGCATATAGAAATTGAATTTATTTTTTAAATTACTTGAGTAACTGGTATAAGTTCTTAGTATCACAACTTGATATACTATACTACACTAACTTGTAAATTTCAAATTTAACATGAAAATTAACAATATTAAAACTCTGCCTGGAAGGGACAGCTTACAAATATAAACCATAGCAATTACATAGACAGAATTTAGGAATTTTTCATAATCCGTATTACTTAAGTTTATATTTGAAGTGAATTAACTTGTTGAATCCTGTTCACATGTGCTCTATTCAACCTACGATCAACAAAATTATTGCAGCAAATGGAGAGGAAAAAAACGTGGGTCGGAAACGGGATCATCTTTATCTTAATTGAATTAAATAAATTATCTTGATTAAAGCAGATTTTTCTATTAAACATTGTACACTTCTTTGTAAGGGCAAATAAATTTGTAACAAAGATAAATATCTGCAAAAAGCAGATGTTTATTCCTTTCGGATTGAAAAAATTGAAGACTTTAGGAGCCTCTTCTCCGGTAAACTAGACCGTAACATAGCGTTCTTATGGCAACTTTCCTTTCCTTGCTTTGTATAAAATGGTACTAAAAACTGACAAAATACTATGTATTTGCTGTGCGATCAGACGTTTTACACATTAACCTAACTTCATGTATGAGTTATAAATGCAAATAAAAAAGATCCAGTTATGATAACATTTTTTTTGACGCTTGTGCGTTAGATTAGGTTTTATATCTAAAACACCTAACTGCATAGCGTTTTGCCAATTTTTCTACCATTTCATATGAAGGTTTCAAAAGAATTCTTAACAGACACTATTTTTGCTTCTAATCATTTTCCTTTTCTACTTCGATTTCTTTCCAAGATGTTCTCATCCCTAGGCTGGATGCGTTGCCTGCGTTTCACAGAATCTGTTCCATCGTTCCATCGTTGTGTATGTTTTTCTGGTCTGTGGAATGAACGCTAGACGTCTAGATCTCCGCCCGCGTCTTATAATGATCGTGAGCTTCCATCCCGTCGTGGGATACTGACCGAACCATGCATCCGGTGTACAATTCCCATTTTGGTATTTTGTATATTCGGCGTGCAACGTGTAATTTATAGATTTCATTTAATTCTCATCGGAGGAAACGTTTCTCCCGTGAAAGTTCAGAAAATCTTACAAACTTAGAAATAGTATGAAGAAGTTGTGTTGCTAAAGAATTCATCATGAGTCGAATTAACTTCTGGTCGGCAGAGATAATTATACTTTATTATTGCACCTTCTGTATCTTTAGATCATGATAAAATCAACTATTCAAATGAATTTATTTATCATCGACTAATAGTTGTAAATCGTCTCTTGAATATTGCTCGAAGTCGTAATAATAATATATGGGCAAGTAATTGCCCGATGCTATTATTGGAGGCAAACTTGTTACGACTATTGAAATGATTTATAAGCTGGAAAATTATTAACGCTCATACACATAAAAGACATGACTTTACCAATACGTCAAACTCGTACTACTTTAGGTTGAAATGGGAAATATGCAACAAGAATAAAAAAATACATTTTCATTTAATTTTCGTGGACTATTTGCGGTTTTGTAACATTTGATATGACTCGCCATTTTCGATTTCGGGCAAAGTTCCAAGTTACTCACGTGAAGATGGTTTGACGTTAAGGATTATAATTTTGTCGCTTGCCTATATTAAGAATATATTTTCAGAATATTTATCAGAATCTTCAAAGAATGAAATGAAAGGAAAAATCCGTACTCATATAGTAATAATCGTATAGGATATAGTAAATGTCGAACAACAAAGTTCTAAAACTGTATTGTTTAGTATAGATTCCAATATCAATCATTCACGCACGCGAACACATCGATAAAATGTCTGTTATCACACGTGCGAGCGTGCAATGACGTTCTCTTGAAGTATTTGTGTTCGACAAATATATACATTGAGGACATTGTGTTGGCTAGTTGAGTATGGCCTTGTTCTTTTCTATTGATGAATGAATGCAAGCACGTAACGTGTTGGTTCGCAGACCGGATGCCAAAGTACCGGATATCCGACACAATTAGGTTAGGGACAAAATAATTTTTGTTTTAAAATCGTACTACATCACATGATTAACCAAATGATGACAATGAATTTTTTTACGCAGGATGTGGTATCAATCTTTTATTGAAAACAATTTAAGAATGCCAAGTAGATTGTCAGTTACTATACATACACATTAAACTAAATTTCTTCCAATTAAACAACTGTTATACTTATGCGTTTTTCGTACTAGTTTAATAATAGTTGAATTTATGCCGTTTATTTACGTATTTTCTTTCTATTTCAGCCGGCAAGAACGATGACGGAGATCGCGTTTGGACGACGCCGCCGCTTTTGTTGAGCGGCGTCAGGAATTATCGAGCACGTCGTAGCGTCCGCTACATGGATCGTCATGGCGGCCCGACGGCAGTGCCGCCCCCACGGCCACCTCCAAAACTTCTGCCGCGTGTACATCAACCACGACATCAGCAGCCGCCGGCGACACCGCCGCGTATGAGCGGCACGGCGAGCAACACGGCCGTGGTGGCTCCGGCACGAACGACGCCATCGCCCGCAGCCGCCTTCACGCTGGCTCAGCCGCGACCCGAAAATGAACGCTCCCTCAACGAGTACGTCGATGCACCGGTGGCACGAGCCGCTGCCACCACGACGCACCAGCACAACCAGCATGCGACCGCGGTTACGAAGCAGCCGCAGAGCATCAACAAGCATAGTGCGGCGTCCGTGCTGGCCACTGCCGGCAACGGCGGATCGCCGAATCAACCCTCGAACACGTTGCCGATTGGCACGAATCTAGTATCTTCGCTGACCCAGCCGATTATTTGTCCTGCTTGCGGTCGCTGTAGATGCGAGCAATGTGCGGCGCCGCGACCGCTGCCACAAGCGTGGCTATGCGGAGACTCTTGTTTGTGCAGCGCGGAAACTGTTATAGACTATGTGACGTGTCTGTGTTGTGTGAAGGCGTTGTATTATCATTGTGCAAAGGACAGGGAGTTGGATCGGGATGGAGATGGCACGACTTGTGCGGACGCGCCTTGCAGTTGTGTTCCTCATCGTCGTGTGGCACGATGGGGATGCATGGTCGCATTGGCATCCGTTTTGCCATGCCTGTGCCTATATTGGCCGTTTCGCGGCTGCCAATCCCTATGTGCGGCAGCGTACGCGAGGCATTCGAGGCGAAGAGGTTGCAGGTGCCGAAGTACGGCAAGCAGTCCGGGCGCGGGTAGGGACGAGAAACGATTATTAGATGCACCTACTCCACCGCCGCCCGACTCGTTTTGCTAATCTGCTAGGGTCATGTGTGTGTCAGTTTAGAATGAACATTATAAAAACAATTTTTAAAGTTTTTTTTACAATGAACGATATGTGTAAGTCGCGCAGTGTTATTGCGAGGAGTTACCTCATTACTAATATGAATACGTTACATTCTGTTCCTCACTCGTTTAACGGGGTGTGCCTGTTAAATCTTTGAAACGGCATATGCACGTATCATAAATCACTATTAATGAGTTACTAATTTAATTAAGTGCTTGTGCATATTTGAAAATTATATATAATATAAAACGAAACCTGTCAAAGATATAGCGATTGAATTGTTGCAGAAATGCAAATTAAAACAAATATGTATACATTTAATAAATCTGCAAATTATTTTATTTATTGATATATTCTCCAACGCCTTATTTAGAGCGCGTAGTAAAGAGAAATTACTATTTTATTTTTCTATGAGTAATTTATATGTATGTTAGAGCGAAAGGCGGTATATGTATCCATTGTAATTGTGTCCAAAGATGTTTCATCGATATTACCTCGATTTTTGAATGACGTCAATACTAGTCAAGCATCGCGTTCGCTTTATAAACTGTCGCACTTAGATAAAAAAAAAGATTAATTTTAATGTAACCCTCTTTGACTTGAAATGCTTATAATAGATTTGGCAAAGGCGTCAATCAAAAACTCGTAGGATAAGAAAATGTGTTCGATTTTATTCGATTGGAGTTACTAAATATTTGTATTAATTCGGCTTGAATCATTAACTTAGTAGATTTTCCATATATTATTTAATTGAAATTCTACTTTTAATCAAGCAAGTTATGAAATGCCAAAAACAAATCGAGAAAGTGAGTGGTCCGATGTCACTGGTACAAATGTAAATGTGCTCTATGTTTATTCATGTATTACTGTACCATCATCAACAACCCACACACTTTCTCTGAAGTTCGAACACGTTTTCCACAGTCGATGAAATGGAACTCATTCTCCGATTATGCCGAACGCTCGCCGATTCAATATCCTTTCTCACTCTACCTAATTTCATACAATTTATTTTTAGAAATACGCATTACATAATAACCGAGTCAAATGAGCTCGGTCGATTTCGCATTCCATACTATTATCATAACTTTTTTTAAAAAAAGTTTTTTGTTTGTTTTTTTATATCTTTTTGTTTTCGGGTAACATCGCTGCAGACGCTTGGCTTCTGCAATGTGAAATATTATTGGTGCTCATACAGCACGGAACTTGAACCTTTGGACAATATCGATAACTGAGTTAATTTAGGATATTATTTATTTATTGGGCCAAAATATTATTGGCTGTTATGAATGTTTGAAATTAACTTGCCCTTTAATAAACTTCCAAATGCGAATAGTCAAGCATAGTATTAATTACCATATGACATGAATGTTAAAGTAAAAGAATTTAAATTATATTGATGATGTATCGTTTATACGTGTCTCAATGTGAACAAGGGCAATTGATTTGATACAATCACACAGCCAATTGCTTGCTACCGTACTCGTTATTATATGTAATATATTTTTGATTAGGTGGTTATATCAGTTCTGGATATTGTCCGTTGGTTTTGTATGTTAACGTTCTAGAGTCCGTTCTTAAAAACGAAGTCAATCTGATTTAGGCGATGACAAATTCAATACGAATCCATTATATGTGCAATGGAGATTGCTGATTTGTTCAATGCACTCTATTGTTTCATATAATTGATCCGTGTTGAATTGGTTTTATATATATTGTAGTTAGGTCGAGGTTTGTTGAGGTGACTTCCAGTATTATCTAGTCTGTTGCGCGCATTGAATAAATTTGCAATACCGCAACGCGGTGCGATACCCTAGCGGTAATAACACTAATTTATGTTTATAGCTTTCTATATTTTGTTTATATTTTTATATTTATACACGAAAATCGATGAATAGTGACGGCCAAGTGGTGAAAAACGAATCGATTTCTGCGATTCGTTTGTTAGTCTGTTGGTATCGCAAAGTGTTATGGATGAAATTTATTGATTGTTTTTAACAATTTTTATATATATAAATAAAATTTGTATAAATATAATAAACGCTAATGAAAAATACTGAAAAACTGAGATATATTTTATTTCAAACTTAATCCAAAACTAAAATCTGAAATGCTGTAAATAAGGAGTTAGGTATTAAAAATTATATAATGTAATGTTACTTATCCAAACTTCAGCCGTGCTAACAATAGGTCCTTATGTCATTTAAAGAGGAACGGCTCATTCATTCTCTATCGAAATTAAATATTCTATGTCAGAAATTAAATTAAAATTACTTGTTCGCTGTACTGTAATTCATTATTATCTACTCGAAATAGACAAGAAAAATTAGAGAAGCAAAAATTGTCACTGTACCTAAATAATAGATGAAAACCTGTATATGTAAAAATTAATAATTTAATAAGTTAATAATGATTAATTGAAATGGCTGAAAAAATACAAAAAATTACGCATCAGTCAGAACAAAATCTGTATATGTCTGTAAATATGAAATCTATATTATACATAATGTTAATAACAAGACCAATTTAAAAAATTACTTTATTTGTTTTATTTCTGAATATTATTAATTTTTGATTTTCAGTATCTGATAATTAAAAGTGTACCATTTCATAGTAATCAAACAATTATATCATTCGGCACACAATGTAAACCGATGGTTAGTTTTGCCGCTTATCTACATCAAATAAAGCTTTAAATAGAGTCGAAGTGTTACAGATATGTGATTCAAGTAAGTAATAATAGCCGATAACATGAAACAATGGAAACACAAGATTATTCAGAGTATTTACGGATCAAAATTCAAAGTTTTGTGTATTTATCTGCAATACATCTTTAAACTATCGGCATTATAAACAATAGATATTAAAGTTAAGAGAAATCATTTCGCTATAAATAATAGTGATTCTTTTTCGCCTTAACGCAAACATACATTCTAAAGTTGAAACCAGTAAACCAAATATAAGGACATATATATTTTAATATATTTAGTTTTTTCAACTATTCTGCTCGAAATTTTATTGCTCATTTTACACGGAGTTTGAGTTATCATAGAAATTTTTTAATAATGGGTAGTACTGCACTAGGGCAGGTCCATGTGGATGTTTTGACACGTTTTGATTTGAGCGAAATCCATGGATATATATCCATGACTTTTTAATAAGATTGGAGTGAAAAATGTAGATGTTTTGACACGTTTTGATCTGAGTGAAAAACCAACCAAACCATTCGAGTCCATGACTGGACGTGAGCTGAATTAAACTCCATCTCGATTCAGGGAAGGATAGTGTGAGAGGTTTTCCATTGCCTGAAATGGGCCATTTTTGGAAACATATTTACATCTACATTGTCAAGTGGAAATGGACATCGCTAGTACATGATGTCATTTTGTCCAGAGCGTTACACCATGGAAAACTCATTATGGTTCATTATAGCACTAATTAATTAATTTTCGAATTCAACCGCTCTCAGCAGGTCTATAATGTTGTAGGATGTTCTGTAAGACTGTAATAACTCTATTATTATAGAAAGTTACATCAAAATACTGAAAACACTTTTAACAAATAATTACGAAGAAATGGTCTGGCCAATTTCTGCTAAAAACTAGTCAGCACTAATCAATCCTCTCTCCAATCACAATCCAAATCATTTACTTTCGAAAGATTTTTGAATTTTTAAAATCGGTTCAAGATTTTTGCACAAATAATAGTAGAGAAACGGCTTGGCCGATCATTTTGCAAAACTAATCAGCGCAAGTCCTATTCGAGTATCATCAATAGCTTTGAAATTGTTGATTTTGGTGTATGTAATTTTGGCTTACATACGCACACGTCCCAAATTTGGTCTGGAACGATTCAGAATGGCTTGAAACGTCTAGGAAACAAAACTAACAATCCGGTTTGTGGAACCTTAGGAATTCTTCTGGTATTGTTATGACAATTATTGTTTTAAATTTAAATATTCTGATTTAAATTCCTGAAGCATTCTAATATAAGAATTCTTACATTCAAAGATCTTAAAAACTGACTTCTTTTGGTATTGTTATGACTATTATCATTTTAAATATAAATGTAAATAAAATAAAGATTAAAATTTCTGAGGATCTTTAATGTCTCTTACATATAAAGATCATAATAAACTTATTGTTACATTATATATATATATATATATATATATATATATATATGTTATATTTTTGAAGCTCTTTAATAAGTTTCTTATATCCAAAGATTTTGTTGTACTCAATTATTTTCATGTTTATAAATATTTTCAAACCAAATTAAAACCATGATTTGAACTTGATATCATTTTCAAATGGAGTAAAATTTTAATTTTAGAGAAAGAGTAAACGCAGATTTTTTGCAATGCTATTAATATTCAATAAAAATCAAAAATATTTTATTGAAACATAATATTATAATATTTTTTTAAATATTTTAAAAATGGAATCAATGTGTATTCTGTAACCCTATCAATAGACCAATAATAACATATTTCGTAGGAAACAGTTCCTTGATTGAATTTGTACATACGATCACTAATCATTAGTAAAGGCAAAATGTGGATAATATAGACGCGTCAGGATGATATTGATGGTACAATTTCAAATGAATCAAAGAAGTAACTTGAGAATAACAACTCGAAACTAGTTTGGTTACAGTTAATTCGATTTGAGAATAATTTTGTTAGTATTCGAGAGAAGCAAAGCAATGCATTATAGAATCGGGCCGGATGCCGGCCTTCACTATCTTATCCATTTCCGGTGCGCCTCGTACGATAAGACGCCACCCGGAGCCATTAAAATTTCGATGGATTTTACGATCGCAAGCAACGGAACCAACCGTACGCGGTGATATTTGGATATTTCGTCTCAGTTTCACTAGAACTGACTAATAACAATTTAAATTTTTCGATTTGAATCCATAATCTAATATTTATCCTGACTTCTACTGATATTATTCTTTACAATTTTAAATTTAAACGTTTTGATTTAAATTCCTGAACATATTTCTTTATATTCAAGGTAAATTAATGTATATGTTAACTGAATCGTTTTAACGAAGGTATCCTATTATCAATAGTTTCGTCTTACAATCCAGTAGTGTGTGTCCAGTAAAGTCACCTATATTCAATTCCTCATAAAATATTATTGTAAAAAATTATCTTCCATCCAAAGATCTTTACTTGATATTGGTCCAAATATTTCGGCTTCTTCTGATATTCTTTGACCTCTTACATCCAAAGATCTCAACATATTGACGGGGTCAACTTGAAATTTTAAATATTCGGATTTAAATTCTTAAAGCCCTTTAATATAAGGCTACATCCAAACATTTATACAGACTTATTCTGGTATTGTTACGGCAATTACAATTTCAAGTTTCAATATTTTGATTTGTATTCCTAAAACTTTCTAATAGGTATATGGTATTTTATATCCAAAATTCTTAGACTTCTTTTAGTGTAGTTTCAACTATTCGAATTTTAGATTAAAATATTCTAAAATTTTATTGAAATTTTTGGAGCTTTTGAATATTTAGTTTCTTATATTCAAAGATCTTAATAAACTGACTTCTTCATCCAAAGATCTTAATAAACTAAAATGGTATTGTTATGACAAATACTATTTTAGATATAAACATTTAAATAACATAAAGATTGAAATTTCTGAAGTTCTTTGAAGGTTTTAACATATGAAGATCATAATATATTGAGTGCTTCTGATATTGCTATGTCAATCATTTTAAATTTCTGAAGCTCTTTAACATTTCTTACATCCAAAGATCTTATTATACTTAAATATTGTCATGTTTATAAATATTTTCAAACCAAGTTAAAACCATGGATAGTAGTCCATGGTTTGAACATGATATTATTTTCAATTGGAGTAAAATTTTAATTTCGTAGAAAGAGTAAACGATGATTTTTTGCAATACTATGAATATTAAATGAAATTCAAAAATAGTTTATTGAAACATATTATTATTTTAACGAATCAGTGTATATTCTAGTAGCCCAATCATTAGACCAATAATATTCAAACATTTAAAATTGTATAATATCGTAATGAAAACCTTATTTTTTACATTTATAATATTACAATATTTATTTTAGTTTGCTGTTAAAATATTATTTTCTTTGCAATCATTATGAATCACACGTTTAAAATATAGAAAATTATACTGAGTGGAAGATTATACTCGCATCTTTATTATTACCCAATTTACTCGTGTTCTAAATGATACAATAATTCTTTGTAATTGTATATCATTTACAACTTCTTGAAACCGTGAGAATAATATCTTATTGTCCAAGTAACTATCGACAAATGTGTTTATAATTTTTGTCCAAATAAAAAGTACATTAGGTAACATTTTTTTTTTAACTTTAGTTGGTGGAAAAATTTAGATAAAGGAAAATGATTTAAGGAGGTATATTAGGAGGTGGTGTAGAGCGCATGAATTTTTGGTCATTTTTAAATCTTCGTAAAAAAGGCAATACATACAAAACATTTTTACTTTTATTTTCTTATAATATATTTAGTAACGTTACAAAAGTACAGAAAAACTGTGAAAAAATGTTAATAATTTTAAAAATTAGTAGTTGTTGAAGTGGGAGGTCACAAAAAATTGGCCCTGACCGTTCACGATTGCAATCCTCCTAGTAATCCGAAATGAAAAAAAGGATTATTAATTTAGAATTATATCGCAATGGTATATACTAGGATTAAGTTAAAAAAATTTTTTGACAATATCGCGACTATTTTTAAAAAAAGACCATTTTCGTACTACTTTTCAGTTTCTGGAATTTTTTTAAAAATAGTTAAAATTGAAATTTGGGAATGGGGTTATTTTATGCTAGAGAAGTCTATAAAGAAGATTATCTGAAAATTAAGTGAATTGGCCTAGTATAACTCTAGAATATATACTAGAATATATACTACTACTAATATACGTCATATTGAAAATTACAGTTTTGAGAAAAACGCGTTTAAAGTTTTGCAAAAGGAAGGGAACAGGGGAGTATGATCATGGTCAAAGAGCTGTACCTCTGAAAATAATTTTAATTTTAAACTAGTAGTGTATCACATCATGCTTTGAGGCAAATTGCTGGTTCTTTCCGTACCGAATTAAAAATTTGAAAATCCGAATTATTTGCGAAATTTTTTTCGGAAATTAAAAAAAACATAAGAAAAAAGTTTTTTCTTTTCCCAAAAACAATTGTTTCGTCAACAAAACCAGAAAGTTTTTTGAATCATTCAAATAAGATGCTTATTTCTTTTAAAAACTGCCATTTTCTGCACATTTTTCTCCGTATCTATGAAATGGCTGGACCTGTCTTTGCCAGAAACTGATTAGCACTTCTCCACATCATTACGAATCGAACGTTTTTTGGATCATTCAAATCGGATGCTCAGTTCTCT